TACCAGCAGTCAATGCCCAGGGAGATCTGCCAGAGTGGAGACAAATACTCCTCATGTCCATCCTGTGATACATGGGGCAAGAAACATTGATGTCCATCAGGCCCAGGCTGATTCTAGCCCTGCCTCATTCCTTTGAACCATTAAATGTTTTCCTGGAGCCCAATCCCGGGTGAAATCCCTGTTATCAAGTATCTGACATGGCAGGAAGGACAAGATTGCTTGGGCAGCGGGATGTGTTGGGCTGCCACCTGGGGGATGCTGAGTCAGGGAGGGGCAGGGGCCACACAGCCCTGGTGTCAGCAGCTGGGAGTGTCCCCTGTGCAGATTGGCCCGACTGGAGCTGAGCAATGCCCAGGTTGCTATAAAAGCCCTGCCAGGGCCAGACTGGACCAAGCACTGCCCTGGCCACCTTCTCCTCCTCGGGAACAAGGGTAAGTGTGCAAGTTTTCCCTGCCTCTCCTGCCTTTCTTGTTACAATAAAGTTTTCCTGCATCCGACTCCTGTCTCTTTGCCTCCTTTTCTGAAATCATGAATACTCCTGGGTATCGGGGAGTTCCAAGAATTGGAGTGGAAATGGTGTTGCTGTGATGGTCAGGGGAAATAGAAAATGGAAGGGAAGGGGGAAAGTGAAAGTGATGAGGGACAGGGACAGATGACAGTAATGTGGACAAGAAAATGAAACCAAAATAGAAACTGGATCAAAAGATAGAGAATGTTAGGACGGGGCAGGGTTAGGAGAAGGAGGATAAGGAGTAGAAGAAGAAGAGAGACAAGAATGATGAGAAGGACGAGAAGGAAGAGAAGGACGAGAAGGACGAGAAGGACAAGGGGAAGGAGAAGCAGGTTGAAGATAATGATAAGAGGAAAGAGGAGAAGGAGGTAAAAAAGAGGAAAGAGAATGTGAAGAAGAAGAAAGATAAGAGGAAGTTGAAGAAGGAGAATAGAAAGGAGAAGATGGGAAATAAGTAATCTGAGAACTATAAAGAAGATAAACTAAGACATAGTAGGAAGGAGAAGGAGTTGATTATAAGGAAATTTAATGTACAGACAAGAGTGAAGGGGAAGTTTCTCTCAGACTTAGCAGAGCCACGGTATCACAGAGGGGCTGGAGATCAGGTAGCCTCTGCCTCGGGATGCCTCCCAGCTCTGCTACCAATCCCACTCTCTGCCAACACAACTGCCGGTGTGTAAGAGCTCCTGGTCTCATGGCCTGCAAGCAGGGCAATCTGTCTGTCCTCAGGCAGAGTGCTTGGAGCTCCTCGTCCTTATCCTTGTCCTTGTCCTCCTGCTCCTTCTCCTCCTTCTCCTCCCTCTGTATCTCATCCTGTATCTCATTCTTCTTCTCCTGGTTCTCTGTCTCCTAACTTCACCAGTTCCCACAGTTCTCCTTCATATCCTTCCACTTCCACTTTGATATAATTTTCATGTCCACTTCAACCTCCGACAACCCATCCCCTCTTCTGTTTCACCTTCGCCTTCCTCTTAGATTTTCCATTCCCTGTGGCCAACCCAGCATCACCAAACACCCTCACACTCTAGGAACACCCCCAATCACAGGGACCTTCATTACTTGGGAAAAGGAGGCAAAGGGACAGGAGTTGGATGCAGGAAAACTTTATTATACCAAGAAGGGCAGAAGAGGCAGGGAAAGGGATGGTGGGCAAGCCCCAGGCAGGCCGGGTGTCACAGGCTGCAGAAGGCCAGGGCAGCTTGCGCAGAGCTCAACTCCTCCATGCTGGGCTGAGGCAGTCACCGGGGTTTGGGGCTGTTGGTGGTGGCTCTAGCAGGGCCCACAGGTATTCCAGAACTTCTTGCTGTAGCGGGGCAGGACGCAAGGACTGCAGGCGGGAGCAGCGTAGGCTCTGCGTCAGCATCCCCCAGGTGGCAGCCCAGCACATCCAGCTGCCCAAGCAATCTTGTCCTTCCTGCCACATCAGATTATTGATGGCCTTGATTTCACCCAGGAATGAGCTCCAGGAACACCGGTCAGGGGCTGGAGCATGAGAGTCAGGAGTGGCAGAAGCCTTCAGCATGGAGGGGATCTGTGCATCACAGGACAGCTCACCTAAACCAGACGCCATCTACCAGCAGTAAATGCACAGAGATCTATGCCAGACTGGGCACCAACACCCCTCATGTCCTTCCTGTGATACACTGGGCAACAAACACTGATGTCCATCAGGCCAAGGCTGATTCTAGCCCTGCCCCACTCATTTATACCACTAAAGGTATTCCTGGTGCCCATTCCTGGGTGCCATCCCAGCTATCAAGTATCTGATATGGCAGGAAGTATAAGCTTGCTTGGGCAGCCGTATGTGCTGGGCTGGCTCCTGGGGGATGCTGACTCAGGGAGGGGCAGGGGCCGCACAGCCCTGGAGTCAGCAGCAGCAGCAGCAGGGAGTGTCCCCTCTGCAGATTGGCCTGGCTGGAGCTGAGCAATGCTGGGGCTGCTATAAAAGCCCTGCCAGGGCCAGACTGGACCAAGCACTGCCCTGGCCACCTTCTCCTCCTCGGGAACAAGGGTAAGTGTGTGAGCGCTTCTGCTCTCAGCTCCCTGCTCCAGCCCTGGCCCCTGTGGCTCGGGTGCTGCCATGGGCTGCTCTCCTGCCATGGCTGCCCTCTCTTGCAGAGCACCCTCGGATCCCACACCAAGATGTCCTGCTACGACCTGTGCCCCCCGAAAACCAGCGCGGACCTGTGCCCCCCCAGAACCAGCGTGGCTGTGCCCCAGCCCATCGCTGAGAGCTGCAA